GAATTCAAACCCATTACGGGTGATCCACACTATTAAGAAATCAATTAAAAGAGTTGATTGCATGACTCAGCCACTTCTACGGGTTGCCACATGCTTCAAAGCCAATTAAATCTCACAGAACCAGCTGATTAGAGAGAATTACTTTTTAATTTCGTCCTCGACCGCAGTCACTCCTTCACTTTGGGGGTTTTGAAACTTCATAGTGGCGCTGCCAAAATCACACAGAACATAGTGTCCTCTGTCATGGAGGAGGATGTTCTCCACCTGCAAAAAACAACAAACAGATGTAATTGACCCTTCGCTAAGCCCCGCCCTCCTCAGTTACTGTTGCTACGCCTGTCAAGCTTTCATGCCTGGCACGGCTTTATCAATGTGTATGCGCCGGTGTCAGACATTTACAGGGATATAATGTCATTTTTGGCGAGATATCCGAGAAAGCCAGACAAAAAAAAAGAACTGCAGTATACATTACAGGGGCATATTCATGACATAATTGGCAACCGATTACAGAATAATTCAATCAAAATTGAAGCTAGCTTTGTCAGGGTTCTGCCACTTTGGTCTTGTAAATTCTTGTTTTGGTGGCAGAGCTCTGACACTACTCCATGTCTGGTCCTGTTTCTGTCTCTGTGCGCGCGCGCGCGCCGTCGTGGGTGTACGCGGAGTGTGCGCGCTGCCACTTGATGTGGCCGCGCACGCTCTGCGTCCCTCAGACGCGCGCGCTCTTGTACTAGTGTTTGTGTTTGTTCTGTCAGCAGCGCGCTGCTTTATTCTCGGCGCCTCCGTCTAGTTGGTTTCAGTTTTGGTTGGCGCTGAGATGAAGCATGCGCGTTGCTTATGTGTGAGCGCACGGTAAGGTGTTTATCTATCGTGTGCTCGTGTCTTGCGTCTCTTGTCAAAGCACGTGGCTTGGTGTTTACATTGTGGTCACGTGCTTTTGTCGTGTGCTTCAGTGTTGCGTTATGCGAGCGCATGGCTTGTATTGTCTCTCTGTGTCATGCGCTCTCATGTCTATTGTCTAGTCCCACCCTCCTTGTTTACTCATTATTAGTTTGTCATGTTCACCTGTGTGTCAATTTACTTTTTGCTTTATAATCCCCCTTATGTTTTCAGTCATTTGCCTGTTCGTCGTCGTTATTTCCATGTCGTGTGCTATCCAGTCTTGTTTGTCCTGCCAGCCCATCCAAGTTTGTTTGAGTGTTTGTTTTATAGTTATGTTTTTCCCCCTCGGGGTGGTTTTTGTTCTAATTTTGTTTTATTTTTATTATCAATAAATCATCCTGTTTGCACTTGAGTCCTCGCTCCCTCATCCTTTTTCCCCATTTCCCCTCACCAACCCTGACAAGCTTAGCCTAGCCGCCTCATATGCTAACCATTCAACAGCTTAGCTCATGCTCAGCAGGAGAGGTGAAATCTAAAAATAATCTAATAATAACTTATTAAACGGTGATTTGTCTATTTTTAGCCAAAAAGCCTGATAGATTAATTGTTGTGCAATGAAATATAGTGTTACTAACCAATGAGGAAACACGCATGACAGTGCTTTTACATGGTTCATTCACAGAAAGAGCAGCCAGAAAGGGGAAACAGATGGATTTGTGCCGAATATTAGCATCATTAACCCATAACTAGGTCCACACGTAATCTGCGCGCGAAGAATTCCGCATGTTTTCCGCAGATTTCTGCAGATTTTTAGCCCATCATTAATTCTGTTTATTTACTTGAGTAAATGTGTGTAAATCTAAATTTATTTATTTTTTAATTACAGTAATATTATTGACTAATATGAAAATTTTCATCTGATTTATGTACAATGCAGTTTGTACAGTAATATTTTCAGTCTTTTAGTATAAATATTATATGAGAAACTTGCTTTATTTACCAAATAAGGGGGATCTAATTAGATTTGCAATTTAAACATTAAATAAAAGTTAAAAAGGTATTACTTTTTACTTCACTAATTAAGATTTTAGTTATGATACTCCCAAAATAATTCTGCAGAAATCCGCAGAAATAGCAAAAAACGTCTGCAGATTCCGTCTGGCCCTGCCCATAACAATGTACAGTAAGTTACCTATAACTGTCAGTATGTTTGTGTGCTCTTTATAAATTAATGAAGACAGCTATAAAAGCTATAAAAGTATGTTGATCGCAAGTGCTTAGTTTGTGATCATATCTCTGTATTGTTCTGTTGATTTGTAATGTCAAATATTCACAGCTTGAAATAAATGGAAATGTGAAGTTCAGTCAAGTTAGCAACAGATTCGCAGATTCTTATTTTCCAGATCAATAACTCATGACCTATTCGCTATTAGTATGACTAAGTTACTTTGGCGAGGGGTTAAACGGAGCAGTGCTCATAATACAGACCGGAAAAAAAAAGACAGTTGTGAAACAGAACCTGCTTTGTATTTTTGTAGGAAACACAGTCTAGATGTGTTTAGGGTAAGAGGTGTGCGAGTTGTTGCCGTCTATGACTGTGTCAGGAATATCGAAACACAACCAACTTAACTCCGCTCCTTTAGCACCCCTCACTGAGCTTGATCCAAGCTGGCATTTCTCCTCTTGGGTTTTTGGTTTTGAAAAGGGAAAAAATTCCACCATCCCGTCCAAACTTTAAAGATACCAGGTATCAGATTTGCACAATCCATACGCACTCGCTCGAAAGCTTGACAGAGCCCTTGCGCGTAGCTACAGTTGCTAAGCCACGTTTGGTGGGTGGCGGTTTTTAGGTGTGGCTTAGCGAAGGGTCAATTACAGGCACAATGACACACAGAACGCTACATCTTCAGATAATAGGCTATATGCACAAGGACTTTTAATTTTGTATAAGCCAGATCAAAAGATTCCAGTGAACTGTCATGCCATTATAAAATCACAGCATTTAAGATCTGGGAAAACCACCAACAAATAAAAATGCATGATTATTTGTATCATGGTTTTGCAATCCAAAAATAATTGATCACTATAATAAAGGGATGTATCGATTCACAGTGAGCCAGTTTAAAAATCGATTTAACCAGTTAAACTCTGCGGTTATTTTGGGATTTCCACCTGGATTTTGCCTACCCAAATTTAAAAGCTTCCCAAATCCACATGCAGAGGTGTAAATGCAAATATTTGGTATCATTTTAAAGAAAACCCTTTGAATTTTTATAAAACACTATTGATAGAGTTTAAAATATCTGTATATGTCGTCTGTGTTATAATAAACACCTAAAAAGGCGCATTTTGTAATTTTTTTTTATAAACTCAAATTTGAAAGTTTTAGGTTGTGTGTGGTCTAGCGTGCTGTAATTAATTCTGGTGGTTCCTGCACATGTCTGTAATCATAGGCAAATAGAAAAATGTCTCCACCATAATCTATGCAAACGCTATTGAATTCCAACTGATGAGAGGTGCTGCACAAGCCACATGACCAATCATTGTTTCCATATTTCACTATTATTTTGTTTGATCAAACATAATTCACTGTGTTTGGACCACATCACACATATAAAAGGATTACTTATGCACATCACCTCAAAAACAGAGGAGAATGGCCCTGAAGCGCACAGCATAAGGTAAGTGATGACAGCTGTCTGTGCTATCTGAGGCTGCTTAGTGATCATAAATGTATTGTTTTCACTTCTGCGCCATGGAAACGCCGCGATTCATCCGGCAACTGTTTGACATGTCAATATAATTCAGTAAAAAGAATGCTAGAACTGTATGAGCACCGACAAGAGCTTTTATTTGAGCTATAACTTGTACATGTGTCATAGACAAATATGAAAATGAACCAATGAAAAATACCTAGCTCGGGTATACAAAATACTAGGTACCTGGTCCGCAGAGTTTAACTGGTCAAATATATGACGATTCAAACTGGTAGAAAATGTTGAAAGAATCACGATACATGTTTTGAACAGTTAAGGAGATCACAGGTACATCAGTGTTTTCATGGCGAAAATGTGAAGATGTTTTTCAGACTGAATAAGAAAGCTGCTCTGTTACAGAAGCAGGTTTTAGATTATTTTTATCCTTTTTAAATTAGTTTATGCGTATTTTAATAATTTGCTTATTATTGAATATTTAAAACATTTCAAGATCATCTCTTCTTAAGTATATCACATCATACTAATACTAACTAAATATACAAGCAAAATTAATTACTGACCTTCATAGTCATGTTCATCTCCTCTCTCTATCCTACTATATAATTAGTCATTTTATAATCAGTCTTTTATGCCAGTGGCCAGTGCCCTGGAACAAAGTTCCTATTGACCACCTCTGTACACGCTGCTCTCTGGTTTAGGAAAGACTTGCGCCCCATTCACGCGGGGCTTCAGCGTCAACGCTTGACTGAAGGCGTGTCTGAAGTTGGGGCTAAAACGATCGTCATAGAAGCGTCAGCCAATGAAATTCAGTCAGCAATAGGCCACTGTCTAGCTGGTGTATTTGCATACAGCGATCTGATTGCCTGACGCTTCCATCGGCGCTTGAAAAGTTGAGCTAGTCCCAACTTCTGCAGCGAGCAACGCCTCTGAAGCGGCGCTGACGAATCCACAATGCAGTTCGGCAACGCCTGACGTCACCCATTCAAAGTGAATGGGAAGCGTTGATGCTGACACCCCGTGTGAATGGGGCGTTACCTCTCCACACCAGCCATCTCAGTCCTCAGTAAAAGTGTCTATCATCAGCAGGAGACATAGAAAATGTGCAAAGACCTCAGCTTATACCAGAATGTAATGTAATATAATGTAATGTGTATTTATATAGCGCATTTATTGTGTATGGCCATACACCCAAAGCGCTTCACAATCATGAGGGGGGTCTCTCCACACCACCACCAGTATGCAGCATCCACTTGGATGATGCGACGGCTGCCACAGGACAACGGCGCCAGTGCGCTCACCACACACCAGCTATTGGTAGAGTGGAGAGACAGTGATAGAGCCAATTCAGTGGACGGGGATGATTGGGAGGCCATGATCGTAAGGGCCGATAGAGGGACTTTGGCCAGGACACCGGGGTTACACCCCTGCTCTTTCACGAGAAGTGCCATGGGATTTTTAATGACCACAGAGAGTCAGGACCTCGGTTTAACGTCTCATCCGAAAGACGGCGCCCACTGACAGTGTAGTGTCCCCTTCACTTTTTACTGGGGCATTAGGACTCACTTAGACCTCAGGTTGAGCGCCCCCTGCTGGCCTCACTAACACCACTTCCAACAGCAACCTAGTGTTCCCTAGTGGTCTCCCATCCAGGTACTAACCAGGCTCAGCCCTGCTTAGCTTCAGTGAGTAACCGATCTTGGGCTGCAGGGTGATATGGCTGTGTGTAAAAACAGAGATATTCTTATATTTCTTTTTTAAAATGTAAAATACCAGTACAGTCAGTTTTCGTTTGTTTATATTACCGAGTCTTCTTAGGTTGGATTATTCTTTTTCAAATAGCAATTTAGTTTTGGTATAAAACACATTATTTTGCAAAAAATGTGCAGCATTTAAGAACAAAATTAAAGGGCTCTTCATCTTAAATTTATTTCAAATAATTTTGTTAAAAAAAAATCATGACTAAATTATATTGTGAGATTAGGATCATGAATCAGGTGAATCGTTACATCCCTAATTATAATGGAAGTCAATGGGGCAGAAACAGCCACCAACATCCCGAAAGGGTAGTCAATTTGTCCAGTGTATTGTTGAGTTCAAAGCAGTTTCCCAAAATATGTATCAAAATAATAAGTCACCAAAAATCATTCCATTTGCTGAAACAGAGAAGTTTGAGGCCAAAATTAATACTCAAAATCACCTCAGAGTGGATGAATACATCCCCAATAGCACACAAGGGTTAAAAGAGATACTCGAACTGTGACTGAAGATTCTCACACACAAGGCTGTCCTTGTGGAAAAGGCATTGCTCAGAGGAGAAGTGTAAGAGAAAATAGAAAAAGGAAAAATAAAGGAACCTTGAGGTCTCGGTGGATTATGGGAGTTTTGTACTGGTGCAGACGTGCTACAGCTTCACATGTATCACAGAAGATCTGGAGAGCCTCCTGTTCGCTGAAGCCTGTCTGCAGACGCTGGTTCATCAGGTTCACCACCTGACCTCCTGCACACAAACAACAGAGGGATGTTAATTCCTTTTAATCACACGGCTGTCTGGATTACTCGCTTCTGATTGGTCAGTTGCAACATGCCACGGCATGTTATTCCAAGATACGGATATTCCAAGAAACGTCATCCATTTTTCTAAATGTATGCATAATTTAAATTAGCTTAAAGCCTAATTAGCTTTAAATGAGTAGTGAACTACACTTGTTCAAACTATTTATTTAAAATAGGGATGCTCATTTCAGTTAATTTTGCCAACCGAAAACCGTAACTCATTAACCGAATATTAACTGGTCAGATTAATATAAAATTATTATTTATTTTTAAAAAATTTGACATGCATATTTTGTGTGACACAGTAAATATTGCATTTTTAATTACTGATTTATTTTAAGATGCGAACATATTAACAACAGAACACCTTCACGCACCTGTAGCGTTTCCAGCAGCATAGAAAACTAAATAAAATAAATAGTCCTGCTCTAGATATTTCACTTGAATGACAAATTTAGATTATGAAACGAAAACACAGACTGAATCCTATTGAAGAACCAGCATAGGCTGTTTTCCCCCCCATCATAAATGCTTTTTTTCTTCTGTTACATAAAAATAGCAGGCTACGTCAAATCGATCGCCCCACAGAAAATATGCATTTAATTAATGCTCTGTTGTTATTCTTATATCACAAACCTCTGTCAACATTTTCTAAGAAAAAAAAATCATTATTTTAAAGATTAAGTCTTGAGCGTCTGATTTTACCTTAGAGTTTGTGTGCTTTTATTTCCTCACTTGCAGATCATGTGTGCGCTGTGTGTGATGAAAGACAATGACACAGCTACTATGTTGACTTTTGTAAAGTATTCACCTTATTCTTCGCCGACGAGTGGGCGCAGCCATTTGAATCTTTTTGGCTTGAGACTTCCGCTCTTATTCACTTCCATTCATTTTTAGACATCAAAAACTGCTTGTTTTGCTGTTTGATGTTGCAAACTGATATTTTCTTATTATATTATTCTACTTCACAGATGTCAATCTCAGTTCCAAAAGGGCCGCAGCTCTGCACAGTTTAGTTCCAACCCAAATTAAACACACCTGATCAAACTAATTGAGTCCTTCAGGCTTGTTTGAAACCTACAGGTAAGTGTGTTGGAGCAGGGTTGGAACTAAACTGTGCAGGGCTTCGGCCCTCCAGGAATTGAGTTTGACACCCCTGTTCTACATGGTCTGTATAGTCATGTAAACATTTTTTAACAAATGTGAGTTAACAAATGTGTGTTGCACATTTATGCAGCCAATTCAAATTCAATAAATGTGCACGTGTAAGTCTTGAGTGGCCGATTCTACATCTCGTATGTACAACCTGGTCATGTCTATTTTCAAAATGGTAATTAATCCTTTCAATTACAGATGAATTACCTTCATACAATGTTATTTCTACATTCATCTAGTTTCATTTGCCATTTCTCATTAATCTACAGGTTTAACATCAGACACAGGAATTTTACATTCTGTTATCTCCAACTGTAGGGCTTCCTTAGCTACTTTATCTGCACATTCGTTTACAATAAATCCCATATGACCAGGTGTCCAGCAGAAAATTATATAAAAGTCTTTTTCCTTTAAAAAGTCCACTTTTAATAATATTTTTGCCACCTTTTCACATCTCTCTAAGAAATTCAACCTCCCCCTTCTAATTTTTTTAGGTATCTTCAGGTCAGAAACTATGTCCGTCTAAATATTACAGATTTTGAAGTTTTATCTTTAAAAGGCGAGTTATTTGATTTATTTTTTAAACTCTTTAAACGCTAGGGACCTAACCTCTTTATTTGTTAATGCTTTTAAAAACAAAACAGATTTTTCTTCTCTTCATTTGAAAGTCGCTTGGGAAGAAGACTTAGGGATTTCAAAATCTACACAAAGTATTACACAGACTTACCTATTCTAAAACAAAGCTTAATAAATTCTATCCCTTGGTTTCCCCCACATGTGACAAGTGTAAACCTGCTGAGGGTACCTTAGCACATCTTTTTTTGCCTTGTGTTCAAATTCTGAATTTTTGGTTAAAAATGTTTCAGTTCCATGCTAAGGTTTATGATTGTGTTTTACTCCCTGACCCAATGATAGCATTTTTTGGCTGGTCAGATTTTCTTGAGACTATCAACCGAAATGTAGGGTTACCTGATCAGTATGGCATGATCATAGCTAAAAAAGTTATTCTTTGTTTTTGGAAAAAAAAAAAATGTTAGGCCTCTTTTTTCTGATTGGCTACTTGGACTCACCTCCACTTTACATTTGGAAAGAATAAGATATACTACTTTCGGGAACTCTAAAATGTGGGATCCAGTCTTTTTTTTCTGAAACACCATAAACACTAAGGGTGCCATGTAATTTCTGAATATTTGTAAGTTTTTTTTTCTCTCTACATCCATTGCTGTGTCTTTTTGTAGGTCATATATGTTTCGTATGTCGCCATTTTCTCTTGTTTCTTGCTTTATTTTACATTTTGCACAGATTATTGTCTCCTGATGGGTTTGTTTGTCCTTTGTTTTTCTGTCTGCAAAAATTATAATAAAAAATATAAAAAAATAAAAAAAAAAGTCCACTTTTTCTATAATGCTAAAAATCATAGGTTGATCAGTTTTCATAGATTCAAGTGCTTGGAAGCAGGATACAGAATCTGTGCAAATTAACTGGCATTGCTGTTCTTTTCCTATTTGTTCCAGAGCTAAAAACAGTGCACAAGTTTCAGCTGTGAATAGAGCTTTGTCCGGGAATACTCTCTGGAACACGCTGAACCAATGACTGTTGCAGCAGATACTCGGCCATCTGATTTTCCACTATCTGTATACACTGGTACACAAGTTGGTAGATTGCATCGTATATTCATAAATTCTTCCTAATAAACATTTGGGTGGATTTCCTTTTTTTAAACGGAGACAGGAGCATTATAATAGATGGCTTTTTAATATACCAAGGTGATAGGGCAGGGGTTCTCAACTGGTTTGGCCATGGGACCCAAATTTTTACATGGTCATCAAGTCGCGACCCAAATCTTTAGTAACTACAATTTTAGGAATTATAATTAATTTGTATTTATTTGTTAACATACACAAGTAGTGACCGATAAATCATAAGAAAATCACCAAGACTTACAAATAAACAATATTTTATTGCTGTCATTTAACAAAATGGATTAAATTATAGAAATATTACAAAGTAAAAACGACAGATACTGTAAACAGTGGTTAGGGTAAGGAAAGGTTCAGTTACCATGAACTAAACTGCTAATAAAACATGTTGTCTGGTTTCTAAATGTTGTTTTAAGTTAGAAGGTTTCTACTTATGACACACTCAGGTTTTAATCTTTTTTTGTCGTCAATATATGTAAATCCATACTTTACATATTCAGGTTCGTACTTGCTCTTCGACGTATTTGTTGCTATAATTGAATGAAATTTCACATGTCAAACGGTAGAGTTTTCATGCACACATTTCAAAATAAAATTCAAAACAAGTTAAAAATTAAACTTTTGTTGTTGTTGTTTTTTACCACACACTTCACGACCCACTGAAAATAATCCTACGACCCACTTTTGGGTCACAACCCACCAGTTGAGAAACACTGGTATAGGGCATAAATGCACGATTGTTGTAATATCCAGATTAAATGTTTTCTGTTCAATACACTTAAAATTGTAAAAACTACTAAGTTCACTTAATTAATTTGTGTTGGGAAGACATGACGGTATTGTGTGGATCCCAGCTATTTTTACAGTTAAGGTTTATACACATTTTTACTACTACAATTTCCATGACTTTTTTTAAACCTTCAGCTAAATAATGACTTAATGTTGCATGTAATGTCGTAAATCTAAAACAAAAAATGCATGCTCAAAATTGCAAAAGAAAGTGCTTTCCAGGTCTGGAAAGCGACTTTGGCAAAATTTCATGACTTTTCCAGGTTTAGCAGGACTGTATTAACCCCGTACAGTGTGCTAAACGATGGCAAAGATGAGCTATTTAAGAGAGCGACTGCATCCAAAAATGACTCACATACGTAATCACGCAAAAAAAAAAACAAGTGCGTCCTTGAATCCATCTGAAAGCACTTCACTAATCAATTAGCCACCAATTATGCCAATTAGCTTTCATTTGACTCCTAGCAAGCATGTTTAATCTGAATCAATATCACATGATTGCCCCTTCCTGTGAGAGCAGCGCTCAATACAATCAATCAGATGGCCTTTTGTGACGACTTGAGAGAAAAAAAACAACAACAAAAAGCTCAACAAAAGAGTCACACAATACGCCAAGAACAACATCCAGCACAAACTGAAGCGGTTGAGACGTTCAGAAGAGGGGACCGGAAATGTTTCAGACTGTGCATAGTATAATCAGGTTCAGTGCTTTATTGTGCTGTCTAGAGATGACGTGCCAGCCCTTAAAATAATGTAAGGACAGAAAAGGTTTCTCTAGATCTACACTGTAAAACTCAAGTCAACTTTATTAAAGGAAATGAGTGTAGTTAACTCAAAAAATACAAGAAATATACAGAAAGTTAATTCTACTTATTTGTAGGGAGTTTTGAACTTTGTGTTGAAGGTAGCGAGTTAATTAAATATAGATTAGTTTAACTCAAATGGTTTGTAGCAATTGGATTTCTCAAATGGTTTGAGTTGCCTTAACTTATTGGGTTTTACAGTACTCAATTGGTTTGAGTTCTCTTCATTTATTGGGTGTTATGGTGCTCAAATTACTTTGTTTACTCAAATGGATTAAGTCTACTCATTAGGATTAGTTTTTGAACTTAAATGGTTTGTTGCAATCAGTTCCCATAAATGGTTTGAGTTACCTGAACTTTTTGGGTTTTACAATGTAACATTAGCTGAAATTAGCATGTGAGGGTTATTCATTCATTCATTTTCTTGTCGGCTTAGTCCCTTTATTAATCCGGGGTCACCACAGCGGAATGAACCGCCAACTTATCCAGCCAGTTTTTACGCACCGGATGCCCTTCCAGCAGCAACCCATCTCTGGGAAACATCCACACACACACTCATACACTACGGACAATTTAGCCTACCCAATTCACCTGTACCGCATGTCTTTGGACTGTGGAGGAAACCAGAGCACCCGGAGGAAACCCACGCGAAGGCAGGGAGAACATGCAAACTTCACACAGAAACGCCAACTGAGCCGAGGTTCGAACCAGCGACCTTCTTGCTGTGAGGCGACAGCACTACCTACTGCGCCACTGCCAGCATGTGAGGTTATGACCTCAAATGTGTGTTTAAGGAGCGCCATCAAGTGGATGAAGTAAATAAATGCAGTACAGACTCCTGCAGATATGAAACATACTTTTATGAGAGAGCATGGAGCATACAGTTAAAATTATCAGCCCTCTTGTGAAATTTTAATTCTTTAATTAAAATTAAATAAAATAATGTGGTTCCAAGTTTGGTTTTACAGAGATTTTTCTCCCCCAATATATTATTAAAAAGTTATTTTGCAAGTTTTTTTGCAAGATACTAGTATTCAGCTCAAAGAGTGACATTTAAAGGCTTAATTAGGCAAGTTAGGGTAATTAGAATTAGAAACAATGGTTTGTTCTGTAGACAATCAAAAACAAAGAACTTAAATGTAACAAACTTTATTATAAAGCCAGTGCGCTCACCACACACCAGCTCTAGGTGGAGTGGAGAGACAGGGATACAGCCAATTCAGTGCATGAGGATGATTGGGAGGCCATGATGGTTAAGGGCTGAGAGGGAATTTGGTCAGGACTCCAGCATTACACCCCTACTCTTTCCAAGAAGTGCCATGGTATTTTTAATGACCACAGAAAGTCAAGACCTCGGTTTAACGTCTCATCCGAAAGACGGCACCCACTGACAGCATAGCATCCCTTTCATTTTTTACTGGGGAATTAGGGCTCACGCAGACCGCAAGTTGAGCGCCCCCTGCTGGCCTAACTAACACCACTCTCAACAGCAACCTAGTGTTCCCATGAGGTCTCCCATCCAGGTACTGACCAGGCTCAGCCCTGCTTAGCTTCAGTGAGTAACCGGTCTTGTACTGCAAGGTGATGTGGCTGTAGCTTTGACTTTTCAGCTCCCGTCGCTTTCAGTGTGAACGTACAGCCAGAGCCAATCACAGAGCAGAAAAACAATGTGCAACAATAAGAATCTGAAGTGTTTATTACATTAGATTAGATTAGGCTGCTGAAAAGATGTTACACCATTTAATGAACCCTCTATTTTTGTGGCTTCAGTCATTGTTGGGGTGCTCTTTTAAATCTGGACGCATTACCAAATTATATCGAAATATATATTGTTATCGTTCAATATGGAAAATGATTATCGAGATTGCATTTTTGCCCAGCCCTAGATTGGTGCATCCCGAGTTTTATATACAACATAATCTTCAAAAGTAATTTATTAGAAAATTATGCAACTACCGCAGACAGTTTGAAATCTTAGAAGTATGAAAACGTTTTCAGTAATAATGGTAAATATTTCAATAAAAGTGAATTTAAGTTAGTGTGAAAATATTACAACTTTTTTTTTGGTTGATTTGTGTTTGGAGTGATCTCAGTCTTGTGCTTTTGTAGCTTTAAGTCGCTTTGCTTTCATCACTGTTTGCTATCTAGGTGGTACAGCAGTCAAGCGGGAGGATTAATCTAATCTTATATTTACTCCTTGTTAGCTGTATGTTTGTTTTGCAGCAGTGGTAATATGCACTTACCTCTACAGAAATCCATGAGGATGAACACCTCCCAGACATCTCCACCTCCCACTGCTGTGATGCTGGAGTCCAGGAAGCCCACGATGTTCTTATGACCGTTCAGATCCCGCTGGACATAAATCACACACGACAGAATACGAGTATGAGTGAATCTGACTTTTCTTGCATCATTGTATGCCATGTCAATACAATATAAATTGCCAGCAATATCAATGCTGTTTTCATTGCTGAAGCACAGAAGACATTTCATCATGCTCACCATGATCTGGATCTCGCGTTTGCAGACCTGCAGGTCATGTTCGTTGTTGACATACATCCTCTTTAGGGCACAGCGAACGCCTTGATTAGTCCGCACCAGAAATACGATTGCAAAACCACCTGCAAAAACAAACACACAAAGTATAAACACTCTATAGATGGTAACTAGTTTGAAGAGAGAAAGATGGTATTCATATCACAACACTGCCTCCATGTGGAAACCAGTAGAAGAGTTCACTCAGTTTGAAGGTTTTTTTTTTTTTTTTTGTTATGGTCAATTATTATATTCTATTTATTTACTAAATTCTATTTATTTATTGTCGGATAATATTTTTTCTTCTGGAGAAAGACATTTGTTTTATTTCGGCTAGAATAAAAGCAGTTTTAAAGTTTTTAAAACGATTTTAAGGACAAAAGGACAAAAATATTAGTCCCTATAAGCTATATATTTTTTCGATAATCTACAGAATAAACCATCAATATACAATATTTTGCCTAATTACCATAACCTGCCTAGTTAACTTAATTAACCTAGTTAAGTAAGCCTTTAAATGTCAATTTAAGCTGTATAGAACAGTCTTGAAAAATATGTAGTAAAATATTATGTGCTTTCATCATGACAAAGATAAAATAAATCAGTTATTAGAAATTAATTATTAAAACTATTATATTTAAAAATGTGCTGAAAAAAAATTGGGTAAAAAAAATAAACAGGGGAGATAATAAAGAGTTCAACTGTAATAAAACATTATGTATTTGTAGATAATGTCTCTCAATGTAGTTCATTGCAGTCAAAAAGCTTCAATAAAGCCTTATGTTTTCAGACTGGTAGATCTCTACTTTCATTTGTTCGGAACAATGTATAGATTTTGAGGATCTTTTGGTCTACTTCACTTTGTCAGGGAGGTACTATTAAAGGGATTTCTTGATTTTGAACAGATGTAGATGTAATCAAAAATGTGGCTAGAAAATTTGAAGAAAATTCATATCAAAATATGATATGTTTGTAGGTAATTGCTCTCACTGTGTTTTGATGCAGTTTCAAACTAGGCATGGGATGATAACCGTTTTCGAGGTATACCGTGGTTTGGAAAAGTCAAGGTTTTAAAACCACCCAAATTTTCTGTAATACCGTTCCTAAGGTATATGTAAGATTTTTATATTTATATTTTTATGTTTTGTTTTTAGGACAACAGTATCTATAGCAAAAAAAATAAAAAATCCAAAGATGCCATTTTAAACTGTATAGATATGTGGTTTTGAAACAAATGAAGACAGCAGAAGTAAATAATTCATTTGAATTATTTAGCCTGACATGTTTACTGCTCCAAAATATCATAAATCTTTTAAAAAACCGAATGTATTGTTTTCAAAGGGGGGAAAGTTTTAGTTTTTTACCCAAACATATATTTTAGAGCAGTGAGCACAATACCGTGACACCTTAAAACCGCAATATTTTTATCCCAGGTTTTATCCATTTTTATCCAAGGTTATTATAACGTCAGATTTCTCTGGATCTCTGAACAATATATCGATTTTGAGGATCTTTTGGTGTACTTCACTTCGTCAGGCAGGTCCCATTTAAGCGATTTCTTTATTTTAAACAGGTGTTGCAGTAATCAGTCCTGGGTGTGGATAGAAAAACTAAAAAAATTCTATATTAAATCATTATGTATTGCAGATATTGGTTTCAATGTGGTTCATTGCAGTCCCAGAGCTTCAGAAAAGCCTTTAAAAAAATGTAAAATGGTAGATCTTGATTTTCTCTCATTTGTTTTTTAATTTCTCTGGATCTCAAAATAATATATAGATGTTGAGGATCTTTTGGTCTACTTTACTTTGTCAGGCAGGTTCCATTTAAGTGATTTCTTTATTTTGAACAGGTGTGGTTTTAATCAGGAATGGGTGTGGCTAGCAAAATTTGTAAAAAATTCTATATTAAAATCATATATACTTATAGATAATGGCTCTCAATATGGTTCGCTGCAGTCCCAAAGATTCAGGAAAAGCCTTTATAAATGTTTCCAGACTGGTAGGTCTTGATTTCTCTCGTTTGTTTTTGAATTTCTCTGGATCTTAGAACCATATATAGATTTTGAGGATCTTTTGGTCGACGTCACTGTCATGCATGTCCCATTTAAGTGATTTCTTGATTTTGAACAGGTTTGGCAGTAATCAGGCATGGGTGTAGCTAGAAAAATCTAAGAAATTCTATATTAAAATATTATATATTTGTAGATAATTGCTCTCATTGTAGTTCACTGCAATCCCAAAGCTTCAGAAAAGCCTGTTTCCAGACTGGTAGAGCTCTATTTTTCTTATTTGTTTTGAATTTCTCTGGATCTCAGAACAATATATAGATTTTGAGTATTTTTTGGTTTACTTTACTTTGTCAGGCAGGTTCCATTTAAGTGATTTCTTCATTTTGTACAGGTGTGCCTGTAATCAGGAATGGGTGTGGCTAGCAAAATTTGTAAAAACTATATATTATAATCTTATATATTTATAGATAATGGCTCTTAATGTAGTTCGCTGCAGTCCCAAAGATTCAGGAAAAGCCTTTATAAATGTTTCCAGACTGGTAGATCTCAATTTTCTTTCATTTGTTTTTTAATTCCTCAGGATCTCAGAAGAATATATAGATTTTGAGGCTCTTTTGGTCTACTTCACTTTGTCCGGCAGGTCCTATTTAAGTGATTTCTTGATTGTGAACAGGTGTGGAGTTATGGAGTTATGTTTTAAGAGATGAGTGTTAACACTTTTTCACACAGGGGTAAGTAAATAGGTTTTTTGCTTTCCCTTAATAATAATAACCTTCATTTAAAAACAACATGTCTTGCGTTATTTTTGACTAATACTGAGACAAGCTAACAAGTGAGACAAACATGCAAAAAAAAAAGAAATCAGTGAGGGCCAAACACTTTTTCACACTCATATCTATAAATGTTTATAGGTTTGCAAGCTTAAATATCTATATAAATTTATGTAAAAGCAATAAATAAAAACATTATTGTTTTCATATTTTATGTATCCTACTAATTCTATCACTGTATTCTAGACTGGTCATCCAGCACTATTAAGATGTAATATTGCAAAATGTCCGTTTGCGCTCAGTTCTGCTGTGTTGGCATAATGTGGAGCTGAGCAGGGTATTATTCCTCAAAGCAGACACAGGGGAAGCCGCTCAGGGAAAACAGACATTTCATTAAAGATCTCTACGGTCAAACAATCAGCAAGATTTTCACTTTGCAAAGCACATGTTATTTGTTGTGTATTGCAGAGCTGAGAAAAGATGCTGAGAGGTGTTGGCTGAAAGACTATTAGCTTTGCTTGCAGTACGAAATGCAAATCATTATGATGTAATAATCACACTCGTGTCATCTCAATGTAATATTAGACTTCCTTTGTACATAACAGAGGTCTTTCTCAATAGACAGCATTACCTTTCACAGTATGCTATAAACTAGCATTAATTTCATGCCAAATAAATGTGGATGTAAAGAAATCAGGCTTAAGGCGTAATATTTAAAAAAATAAAAATAAAAATGAATTAAAATATCCAGAAATCTCTAGAATCGTGTTATATTTTGCTGACTTCTGTACTTACATGATGCCAAATGTTACAAAGAATGTTTAAATCCAAAACAATCATCAAACATAACTAGTGAGGGGCGAGGCAGTGGCGCAGTAGGTGGTGCTGTCGCCTCACAGCAAGAAGGTCGCTGGGTCGTTGGTTCGAGCCTCGGCTCAGTTGGCGTTTCTGTGTGGAGTTTGCATGTTCTCCCTGCGTTCGCGTGGGTTTTCCTCCGGGTACTCCGGTTTCCCCCACAGTCCAAAGACATGCGGTACAGGTGAATTGGGTAGGCTAAATTGTCCATAGTGTATGAGTGGGTGTGAATGTGTGTGTGGATGTTTCCCAGAGATGGGTTGCGGCTGGAAGGGCATCCGCTGCGTAAAAACTAGCTGGATAAGTTGGTGGTTCACTCAGCTGTGGCGACCCTGGATTAATAAAGGGACTAAGCCGACAAGAAAATGAATGAATGAATAACTAGTGAGATGGAGCGTGTGCTGTGTGTCCATGCTAATGTGATCACACACCCTCAATTTCCAGTTTGGTTTCATAGAAAATATGAAAAACAGCAAAGCCGCTTCAATATGTTGTGTTTTATTGTAATGCACCTTCATAATAGAATGAGTCAAATGTATTAAGTCTGATTAAACAGCACACGGTCGGCAGCTGAAGAGTATAAATGGTCACATTTGGACAGCTTTGAAACGATTGTTTTAATCTATTTTATTCGTTTCTAATGCCAATGAGCCAATACTGTTGTCAATCAGCGCCATCTCCTGGACTGATCGTTGAAAAAATGCGATCTAATAGAATTAAAAACAACTGCTGTGAGGCATTTTCCCCTCATTGTCAGACGGCATCTGACGTTTAAACAGAGACATTGCTAAAGTGAACAGTTTCCTATTTCTTTCAAATATATAACCAATACAAACAAATTGTAATTCACCAAAATGTTTGGCACACACACACGTAGCCTACTGTACTGTCCCACTGATTGAATAAGTGTCACAAAGTGAAAATAAAGTGACATTTTGAAATGACAGAAAAACACAAACCCTGGTAAATACTACACAATACAACTAACTAAATGAAACATAAACAGCTCCCGATTAGAATCAACATGCAAATCAGCCAGCAGAGTATCGGTAACAAACTTTTATTGGTCATTTTCTGTAAATTGCATGACTTGAAAACCTGTTAAGCTTCATGCCAGTAATCTGGTTTGTTCTAAAATGCAGTAAAGAATTGAGTGTGTGCGTGCATGCGTGTGTGTGCGCACATTAAAGACAGCTGCTAAGCTAACAGGTCTGGAACGAAAACACGCACGCACGCACGCACGCACGCACGCACGCACGCACGCACGCACGCACGCACGCACGCACGCACGCACACACGCACACACGCACACACGCACACACGCACACACGCACACACACACGCACACACGCACACACGGGAGCTACACTGAAAAAATGATGTCTGCAAAATTGTTGCAAACAATTTAAACAAACAAATTGAATTTAGTGATGCGTAGTGCGTGCATGCGTGT